TTGATTGCAGATATAGAATGCTCCAAATCACATGTGCAATTCTATGGGCCATTGCTCCCCGTGCCTCTCTGAGGGGGCCAGGTTCTGGCTCGTGGTCCCCGGTAGGCCTAGAACTCCACCCACATCGACTGATGCAAAATAGTTAGGGTTGGTAGGGTTAGTTAGGGTTATATTAGCCATGGATAGCTCCGGGAAGCCTCCGGGTCTCGCCCAGAAAATGGCGTTTCATTACATTCAACGCTGGTTTTTGGGACTCTGTCTTCGCTTTGTTGGCCGGTTTTGTTGTTCCTGCTTCCTCTTTTTCCTACTTTTCTAGTGCAGTAGTCCTGGTTGGCGCCTTCCCGCAGAGCAGGTTGTGCAGTTCGACCAGCGTGTCCTGCACATGCGCAGTAGAGTTTGTTTTGGTCTGGGCAGTGTGTTTCAGTGCTGGTGTTTTGCGCCCTTTTTTCTCGGGTGCTTCGCCTCTCGCTCTTCTCCCTTGCTGCGGTATGTGCCCCGTCACTCGGGGGTGTCCTGGTTTCCAGCTGTGGGGAGGATGCCGAGGTTTTCCCTGTGTCATGGGTGTGGGCCACCTCCTTCGCCTCTACCCTGCTCTCCTGCAGGTCCGGCTCTGGCTTCTTCACCTGGTGGTGCTCTCAGGAACTTTTGGGCATGGTTGAGTCGTGTCATGTTCGTGCCTCCGTTCGACAGGTGAGTTTCTGCGGTCTGGCGTCTTTTGGCCGGGCGCTGGATGCGGAGATGTTTATATACCTGTCTTTATTTAGGTATATTTCTGTCCAACTGAGACCATTCACACACCAGTGACTGTCCCTTTTTCAACCCTTCCAGTCCCACTCATGTGCATGTCCAACCCATGCTAGAGTCATTCAGGGGACCCACCTTTTTTCGTCTTATGAGGTGTGTGGGTTGTGGTGCTGGTTATGTACTCACCTGGTAGGACTCTCCTGGTTGTGCTTGCAAGGTTTTGAGCTCTGGCTCTTGGGTCCCGCCTCTCTGGAAGAACTTGCGGGATAGTACCAGTGGAGTGCAGTGGTGCTATAGGCACAACGGGGAACACTGTATAACCGTCAAAAGTCTGCAGTTGTTACAAGACCTACTTGCGTGCATTCGCCATATTGCCGGTACGTCCGTGGACTTCCGGGGCACACTAGCCTGTTTTCGAATAGAAGGTATGGCCCATCCTGGTTGTGGGGGGTATATGGGCCTGCGGGCCACTCCAAGCAGCTGCCTGGTGGGGCCACCCTCTGGCCGGTCTAGCCTAGCCTCGGGCCGGGCTTGGGGTGTAAATGAGCTCCCAGTACCCCATCCAGCAGGTATCAAGCGGGGTTCTCTGCTGTCGGTCGCCTGGTGTGCAGGTTTCTGGGCCTGCTGGGTTCTGTCGTGTCTCCATTGGCCCTGTCTGGGGTCTGCCTGCACCGTTCTCTGCCTTTGCAGAAGCGAGTTGCTATTTACATGTTGCATGTTGCGGTGGCGTCTGTTGCTGCTGCTGCACGTGTGCATTGGTAACGTGTTTCGTGTGGCGTGTCCTTGTTCCTGTGTCCGGTTGTGGTGTGGCACTTTGCTACTGTTTTTGTGCCTAGGGTTTGCATATGGGGGTTTGCTTGTTGTTTTTCTTGGTCTTTGAGTCCATGGCTTGGCCTTCTCATGTGCGGGGGGTTATTCTGTCCCTGCCTGATTGTCCACCCCTGGTTGTTTTCCTGGGGTTTTGGGCTTCAGCTCTTTCATCCTGCCTCTCCCCAGTCGTTTTCCTGGCATCTCCTTTGGTCGGTTTTGCCTGCACTTGGTGCTGTGTTGGGGGGCGTGGTCGGTTTCCTCTGCTTCATTTCCTTGGGCGTTTTTTCAGCCTGTGTCCTGTGGTGTGCTTCTTTGTTTCGGTCTGTTGCAGTTGCTCGTACCCCTTGGTTCGGGTACTGTTTCTGGCGGCAACCCTTCCGCCTTCTTCGGTTTCCTAGCTTACCCTGCTGGTTGGTTTTTCGGGGTCTTGCGATGTCTCGCGTCGGACTCGTCGTTTCTGAACTGGCGGGCTTGCTTGCTTTGGGGAGTTTTTCTGTTCGGGAGACGTTCCATCTCCTTGTGCCACCTGGGTTTCGGTGGTCGCGCCCGAGATCTTCCCATGGCTCTGCCTTTTCCTGGGCTCGGAGGGGCCTTGTCGGGGCTGCTTACGTTCTGCCTCGCAGTATCGCCTCCGGTTGGTGGTCGGGTGGCTTCGTGGTAGGTGTCTCACCTGCGTACTTCTCTTGGCGGCAGTATGGGGTATTTTGGTGGTCCTTCCTTTTCCTGTCCTTTCTTAGGTGGCTACTCTTGTTAGTGTCGGCTAGGTTTTCTGATGGGGGTTGGGGGCCGTCGACTTGCCATATACTGTCGCCTCTTTTCGTGCGGCGCTGGCGAAGCCGCTTCGGCTTGCTTACGGTCTTGGTGTTGCTTCTGCACCACTAGTAAACAGTCTCGTGCGTTGTTTCACCTCCGGCCTGTTCGTGCACCGCTTGCACCGTCCTGGTCTCTGGTCAGCGTGCTCTGTCTTCTCCTCGGTTGGTAGTGCCCCTTCGTTTCCGGTTTGTTTTTTTGTCGGCTCTTTTTCCTTTCGGCATTTGCCTCTGGGGGTTGGGTCGCTGTGTTTTCTTGCTCCTTCGGTTTTAGCGTTTTGGTTCTTCGGTAGCAGCAGTTTCCATCTTTTCTGGTGCGGGGTGGGGCTGCTGCGTTCTGGAGGGGTCCTTGGTTTGTTGGTGCTTGGTTGGTCAGGCCAGGGGCGTGTCGTGTTTCGGGTTTAGTGGCGGCCCTCCTCTGTTGTTGGCGTGCCATGGCATCTGTGTCCGGGGCACGTTTTGCGTTGATCCGGTTCTGTTCTTCCCAGTTCGCAGGTGATGGTGTCCCGGGTTGTCAGCCGTGTTCTTGCGGCTAAGCTGCCTGTGTTCTTCCCTCATGCCCGTGACGTTTGTGGCTTCGCTGCTCTCGCTGCCATCTGAGCGACGTGTCCTTGCGGTCGTTCGGGCATGGATCTTTGGTGTTCGTACGGGGGCCTTGCTGCTCGTTGTTCTCGTGTTGTTCCCGGTACTTTTCGGGGCTGTGGTGCCTTGGGTTGGCGTTTGCTGCTGGTTGTCTCGCTTTCGTGGGGGGTGCGTGGTGTCCGCCTCCCGGCTCTGTCCCTTTGACCTTCCTCTGTGGGTAGTTAGCTCCAGGGAGCCGACGGGGCTCCCCCCAGAAAACCAGCGTTGAATGTAATGAAACGCCATTTTCTGGGTGAGACCCAGAGGCTCCCTGGCAACCCTCCCTCCCTCTGGTCGGCAGATTTTGCATGTTTTGACATCCAGTCTCAGAACTGATGGGTGGATAGCCGGCATGGGAGGTCTGGGGCTCCCCCTTCCCCCTCCCGGGGAGGGGGGAGCTGCGGTGATGTGTGACGTCATACTAGTTTGCTTGTTTTCTGTTGGGGAGTTCTATCCACTAGTTCGGCTTTAGGTAGCAATTTTCACCAGGATAGGGGTTTGTTTTGGAATGCTTACCTTTCTGGATGCTTGACCCGGTCGATGGCAGACATAGAATGCTTCCAACCACACGGGGGTTTCTATAGGCCATTGCTCCCCTTGCCTCTCTGAGGGGGCCAGGTTCTGGCCGTGGTCCCCGGTAGGCCCTAGAACTCCATACACATGACTGATGCCAAAGTCTGACATTAGCATATCAGCCTGGTAAAGCTCCAGGGAGCCTCCGGGTCTTACCTAGAAAATGGCGTTTCATTACATTCAACACTGGGTTTTTCTTGGCTGATGCCTCCTCAGGCTATGAAAATGGGAAATTGCTTAGTGGTGATGTCATTCCACATACCTATACAAACCCGCCCTTATTTTCTAGGGCCTGGGGAGACACAAGTCCTAGATACGAGACCAGGTTTTCCTTCGGAGAATTTTAGAAAGACTTATCCACAGCCTAATATTCCAGCCCGTCCTCCAAAAATGGGGTGGTAAATGTAAGGAGACAAATAAGTGTAATTATGTACTATTCATAGCAGTTCGGAATTGTGCTTATTTTCACTTAGTATTAAATCGTACTGTCAAATATATTGTGAATATTTGAGTTTACTTGAAAAACTGAATAGAAAACCACAACCTCACCTAACTGTCTTAGTTTTTGAAGATAATAATTTTATTGCTTCTTAATTACAATTAGTACTTAACCTATAGCTATATTGATATTACAATTTTATAAAACTAATAAAACAAAACTAAAATATATCAATAAATTGTAAAGAAACTCAGGATATTTTAAAATTTTGTATAAAATCTATATTGTTTAATAAACCTGAAAAAGAAATTCCTGATATTTAAAACTTGTGTATAGCAAATTGAAATTGAAAACTTCATCCTAAAATTCTGAGTGTCTTAACAGAAAACAAGGAGAATTAAATTGGGGGAGGGAGTTTGGTAAATGTAACAGCCCCATAAGTGTAATTATGCACTGTTTATAACAGTTAGAAAGTGTACTTATTACACTTAGTATTAAATCGTACTGTCAATTCGGAGGATGGGTTGATATTCCTACCTAATATTCCTAAGTGTTTACAACACTTAGTGCTGGCCAGTTGGGGTAGTTAAATATCAATTAATTTTTTGAGAGAGCTAATTGAATCAAATTTCAGTTGCTTGGCCTGCATACATGTCCATAACAACCTGGATGGTACATCGCAGTTTGAAGAAACTTATCGAGTTGTCATTACAATGTTCCTAGCTGGTCATCTATGATGACTACTATTTGCCGTTACTGTAATTGGATTTGGGGTTTAATATCCTAATGTTTTCACTATATTTGAGTGTGTGTGTGTGTGTGTGTGTCAACTGTTCTACGTGGCAAGTTAGCAAATTCTGCTGTCATCATTATTCAGTATGAAAATATTTCTACATGTAGATTGAGAATCTCCACTTTAACAAATTTTCCTGTATATATATTGCCACACATGACCTGGAAACCAAGTCTATCATGGTATACAAATTGTTAACTTTTCTTAACAGATGAGGATTTCAACCACACCGCTACACTTCTCCTGATTGAATTAATCAGACAAAGATTCCAAAGGTTTCTTTTGATACGAACAAGACCAGCAGTTTACAAGGAACTACAAGAGGAGATGTGCTTTCGAGGATTCTCTTTCTCTTTAGAAAAGATCAGAAAAAAGTGGAACGGTCTCATAACAACATACCAGAAAATTAAGGAACGGAAGCGTAACAGCAATGACTTGTCCGACAAATTATCTTGGGATTATTACCAGGTATTGTATGCAAAATGTGGGTTATGATTGAAAGTTCATAATAGCATTGTGATCTTCTATGTAACTAGAGAGAAAGAGAGAGAGAAAGAAGTTTATATACAGTACTGTCTTTATAGTGTTGTCCCATCTTGAAACATCTCATCTGTGAGAGGATGGCTACAATCTTAAAATCTAAAATATTCCCCCAGATAGTTCTAATGAAATTAAGTATTAAAGACATTAAAGGCACACTCATTTAATAATTTTACTTGGTGATTTAGGCATTATAATGGAGTCACCATTTGCTTGCACAGAGTAGCAAGTGTACAGTATAGGCAGCCCACAATATTATGTAGTAGTGGAGTACACATTTGGAGTTATGCGAGTAAGAATTTTTAAACATAGCCAATACGCAGGTGGATATTTAATTAATGTTGATAAGTGTGGATTATCCATCTTAATCCTCAGGTTTACCCCATTTTTGGCTGCAAGCCTGACTCCTGAACACCTTTTATTCTTGTGTTTTGCCAACTTTTTGGGTTATAATTATGACACGTTGCCCATCCCAAGCATTTGAACTCTATTATGTGTTTAATATATAGCTGAAAGTAAAAGGGACATTAAATATTTTGTTAAAAATAGGTGTTATGTCAAGTAAAAGAATATTAAAAAAAAATGAATTTTTGTAAATGATTTCAACTCTCCTTGAAGTTACCTATTAGCTTAATTTTTGTGGTTTATTATTTGCACAAATTTAGGGCTGCATATATGTAGGAATGTTTGACTTGTCCTCATCAAGGATATGGAGTGCATATGAGACAGTCAGGGAAAGATATATGACAAAAATGAGTAAAAATAATAAGTTGACATTGAAAACTGTAATTTAGTTTAGAAGAAGTGTGGATGTGGAGAAACAGAGAAGATTGCCAAGTGGCACTAATGTGAATGCAGTTAAAGAATAAGTAATGTAAGAATAAAGAATATACAAATATTTGTCTAAAAACACTTGCTCATAACATTGAAAATATTTGATCACAGTGGTTAGTTTGTTAAAAATACAAGTTCAGTATTTATATATATTATTACAAATTTGTTTCCTGTGCAGCTGCTTGATGATTTGTTGGGCACAACTGTCCTCGCCGTGCCACCATCCGAGTCTGTTGAAACACCGGCTCCCAAACCTCATGTTGATATGAGTCACCTGCAACCAAACAAATCGCTGACAGTGGCAAAACCACCTACCATCAAGAAATGTACGGCAGATATGCTTTCCTCTCGGGTAATGCAGCCAGCAGTTACTCTTCCCACTCCTCAAGCAGTATGTCAGTTCGCTGCACCTGTTACTACTCTACTGCACCATGATGGCGATACAGTCTTTGCAACCCAGACCACAGCACCAGCCGCAGGAGTGGATGAAAAGCCCATGAGAGGTGCTTCTGATGTAGCCACAGTCTTCTTGGAATATAACCTTCAGTTGGGGGAAAAGCGGCTAGATAAAATGGAACAACATATTCTGTATATGGCAGAAAAAGCAGCAAGGAAATTGGAATACAAAAAAAGGAAGGAAGAAAGAGAGCAATTGAATCTGAAAGCATTGACAGCCATTGGTAGAGCCTCGGAAGAACTGAAAAGTGGATTGCTGAGTATTTGATGTACAATAAAATATTTTATATAATTACAGAATGTGTGTTGTCATTACCCCATGAAAAATTGCAATAGAAGCAAAAATTATTATATTTTTAAAGAAATTAACTGAATTTATTGAATAAGATACTTAATTTCATGTGTTGTTAGAAAATAATGAAGCTTTGGAGTGTTGTTGGCTTAGTGTAAAGAGAAAGTTACACAATATAATCCCTGGCCTAAGTTTTCATGTACAAAGAGCTACAGTAAGGTTTTTGCATGCTTATCTCTACGCCTGAAACGTATATTTTAGAGTTTGATAATTTCTTTATTATCCTAGGTGTCTTTGGCAAGAAAACTTGCAATTGTGTCTTTTATTTTTACTTTTATTTACTTTTCCCTAGACTTGGAGTATATGTAGAATGGTTTCTGGAGAGTTCTAATCAGTTACTTGATCTAGAAGGCTTGGGGTGGCCCCACATGCCCACATATCCATCAAAACCTGAGTGGTCCAGAATGTCCTGCAGGAACTTGTCTGCATTTTTTCTGGGGGGAGCTCCTATGGCTCCCGGGAGCTATCCGGGCTGATATGGCTACCCTAACTATTTTGCATCAGTCGATGTGGGTGGAGTTCTAGGCCTACCAGGGACCACGAGCCAGAACCTGGCCCCCCTCACAGAGGCATGAGGAGCAATGGCCCATAGAAGCGCACATGTGATTTGGAGCATTCTGTATCTGCCATCAACCGGAACAGGCATCCAGAAAGGTAAGCGCCACAAAACAAACCTCTATTCTTGTTAAAACAACGAAAATCGCCAACGAGTGGACAGAACTTCCCAAAAGAAAAATAATCAAACAGCATGACGTCACACAAGCTGCACCGCATGTCTGCGCAGCTCCCCCCTCCCCGGGAGGAGGAAGGAGGAGCCCCAAACCCTCGCACCGGCAATCCACACCTCAATTCCTCGGCTGATGGGATTGTGCATAGTCGTGTGGCTCCAACTCCAGTCTCCTCAGTGCTGTTATTGGTTTCAGTACTGCTCTTACGGTGATGTGCGAGTTGGGAGTAATTTCTCAGCAACTCGGGCTGCATGTGTTTAGGGTTACCTTCCCTAAGTGCCCTGTAAGTACCGCCCTTGGGGCTTGGGGTTCCTTTCCACAAGTCACCTTGGGTCTACCTCTGTTGGCCTTTCACTGCTTGGCGTTTGGCCGCCCAAAATGTATGGGAGGGTTTTCCACCCTTGTTTGCCTTGGGATAAGTGGTAGTTATTGCATTGGTGGGGCGCGGGGTACTGTGTAGCTAGTTTTCACTGTTAACAGCGGCCGGGTCTGTTCTTTTCAGGTAGTGTGTCCTCTTGCGAGGTTTTTCTTTTCTTTTTCTTTTTGCCTGGTGGGGGGTTCTGCCTTGTGTTCTCCCTTCCCGTTATCTTAGGGTCGTTTGTGTGGTGGCGCCCCCTGCTTCTCCCTCGTGAGTGGACACGTCCCGTGAGTTCAGTTTTTAGCAGTTTGCTCGGAAGTTTGGGGCACTGGTTAGCAGTACCCTGCCTGGGATAATCCTTAGCAGACCCAGTCTAGGGGCCCTGGGAAACCCCGCGGGGGCACTCGGGTCCACTGTGAGAGACCCCTGCGTCCCCTCTCGTGTTGTGCGAGTTTGAGGGTTGCTCTGTCCTTTTGTCTCAGGACGACGCTCCTTGTTTTTGCCTCCGTCATGCAAAACAGAGGCAAAAATGTGTTGAGTCGGTGACACATTCGACGCCAAGTCCTACAAGCTTTGTTGCTTGTTTGTGACTCCAATCACCCTCTCTGTTGATGACATTCTTCGGATGCAGGCGGCTCGCACATTGCCGGATAGGTTGTTGCAACGCACTAATTTGGTTGCTTCCCCGGATGCCTGGAGGCTGCCCTGTTTTCTTCTCCAGATCCGGACTTGGGGTTTTGGTCGCGTCGGCCTTGGTTCTGTCCGAGCCCCCTCGTTCTTCCCTTGCTGTGGTTCATTCGGTCCCCCAACCCCCTGCTTCCGGCTCTTAGGTGTCTGCGGGCTTCGGGGTCAGGTCAAGGTTTTCGAGGTTTGAGACTCGGGCAGTTTCGGGGGTTGCGTCGAAGGCGTTCAAGTCTGTTTCTCCAGCCGTAGCTCCGGAGTCTGACCAGTGGGCCCTCTTTCTTCATTCTATGTCGGCCGCCCCAGCTTTTTCTTGTGAGGCCGGGGTTTTGGAGGATAACTCGTCCCCGGAGCCTGAAGTGGTGGTTCCCAGGGTTGGGGAGGAGCTGACTTAGGGGCTTTGGGCCCAGTTGGACCCTGCTTGGGTTTTCCGACCTTCCGAGCAGGGCTTGCTGTTACAGGAAGTGGGGTTTTCCTTTCCCCTCCCCCTCTGCATACGAGTTGCCTTTGGGTGTCGGCCCCTTCCCGGGTGTCCCTACGGGTCCTGTATGACCATTGGTCAAGAATGCTATTGGATGCATCGGTGTCTCTGTGATTTTGTGCTTATGCATTATTGGAACGTCTGTCGTCTTCCGGTAGGGCTTACCTCCAGTCCTTTCTAGGACTCGTTGGTACTCTTCCGTCCTTTTCTCATCTTTCGATGCCGTTTCCGATTTTTACTAGTCACCTCTTTCTGTCCTTGTCTCGGCATTATTAATCATGGTTCCATATTCCTTGTTGGCACCCTCCCCGGGGGTCGAGTGGTGCAGCCTGGACCTCATGTGTCCTGCGCATGCGCAGTGGGTGATTGTTTTGTTCTGGTCGGTGTAAATATGTATCGGTGTTCAGCGCTCTTTCTTCCGGGTTTTAAACTGCTCTCGCACATCTTATCTCTCCAGTCATCGCCCCCTGGTAATTGTGGTCGTTCTGGGTTATATGTGGGGAACACATCTAGTTATTTCTCTGCTTATGGGTGTGGGGTGGCTAGGAGTGGTGCCTCTTCTGCCTCTCCACCTCTCCACTGCACCTGCTCTCCTGCACAAGCACAAGTGTAATAGTCAAAATATTGGAAAAAATACTTAAATCTAAATGGGTAGAACACCTGGAGAGAAATGATATAATATCAGACAGACAGTATGGTTTTCGATCTGGAAGATCCTGTGTATCGAATTTACTCAGTTTCTATGATTGAGCAACAGAGATATTACAGGAAAGAGATGGTTGGGTTGACTGCATCTATCTGGACCTAAAAAAGGCTTTCGACAGAGTTCCACATAAGAGGTTGTTCTGGAAACTGGAAAATATTGGAGGAGTGACAGGTACGCTTCTAACATGGATGAAAAATTTTCTGACATAGAAAAATGAGGGCTGTGATCAGAGGCAATGTATCGGACTGGAGAAATGTCACAAGTGGAGTACCACAGGGTTCAGTTCTTGCACCAGTGATGTTTATTGTCTACATAAATGATCTACCAGTTGGTATACAGAATTATATGAACATGTTTGCTGATGATGCTAAGATAATAGGAAGGATAAGAAACTTAGATGATTGTCATGCCCTTCAAGAAGACCTGGACAAAATAAGTACATGGAGTGCCACTTGGCAAATGGAATTTAATGTTAATAAATGCCATGTTATGGAATGTGGAATAGGAGAACATAGACCCCACTCAACCTATATATTATGTGAGAAATCTTTAAAGAATTCTGATAAAGAAAGAGATCTAGGGGTGGTTCTAGATAGAAAACTATCACCTGAGGACCACATAAAGAATATTGTGCGAGGAGCCTATGCCACGCTTTCTAACTTCAGAATTGCTTTTAAATACATGGATGGCGATATACTAAAGAAATTGTTCACGACTTTTGTTAGGCCAAAGCTAGAATATGCAGCGGTTGTGTGGTGCCCATAACTTAAGAAGCACATCAACAAACTGGAAAAGGTGCAAAGACATGCTACTAAGTGGCTCCCAGAACTGAAGGGCAAGAGCTACGAAGAGAGGTTAGAGGCATTAAATATGCCAAAACTAGAAGACAGAAGAAAAAGAGGTGATATGATCACTATACATACAAAATAGTAACAGGAATTGATAAAAAAGATAGGGAAGATTTCCTGAGACCTGGAACGTTAAGAACAAGAGGTCATAGATATAAACTAGCTAAACACAGATGCCGAAGAAATATAAGAAAATTCACTTTCGCAAACAGAGTGGTAGACGGTTGGAACAAGTTAGGGGAGAAGGTGGTGGAGGCCAAGACCGTCAGTAGTTTCAAAGCGTTATATGACAAAGAGTGCTGGGAAGACGGGACACCACGAGCGTAGCTCTCATCCTGTAACTACACTTAGGTAATTACAAGCATCTCTGGACATGCTCCGTTAGCGATGCTCCCAGACTTTTACACGGCTACGCTGTGTCGTGACCTGATAATGCCAGGTTGAACGTGGGTTGAACTGGTTGACATTCTGGTTGGATTTTTACATGGGGTTCGACCATAAGTCCGTTCCATATGCACATACATATGCCTTATATAGGTATGGCATATATATACACCTACTGTGACCCCTCCCCTTCCTCTTATGGGTTGGAAGCCTGGTTTCCTGTTCTTGGTAATTACCTAAGTGTAGTTACAGGCACCTCTCGCACTTTCTGTTGAACCAATCCTGTTTCCTAGTTCTGCTTCTCTGTTTTGGTATAAAAAATTTTGTGCCTTTATCATATATTTCACAAAACCTGACATACATCTCATTCACTTCCTTGCCTAGCAACAAGTCTGTCCAATTATACTTAATAAAAAATTTTCTAAGGTTGCCATAATGTCCTCTCCTAAAGTCAGGTTTTTCATTTGCATCGACCGTCATATTTTCTTCCAGATTATAACGCATTGCATACTTTATTCCCAAAAAGACATGGTCACTTTTAACCAAGGGAGGAAGGTACTGAATGTCAAATATTTCTTCCTCCTTCCTGGTAAATATCAAATCTAGCATGGAGGGGACGTCCCCTTCCCTCATCCTCGTAGCTTGTTTAACATGTTGATACAAGAATGTTTCCAGGATGAGGTCTACAAATTTACAGGTCCAGAAATCTTCTGTTTTAGCTTCACATGCTTCCCAGTCTATGGATTTCAAGTTGAAGTCGCC